AATGTGGAACAAAACTAAGATTCATTTTAAAAAAAGACCAGGCTTACTGGTCTGATAGAGACTGGTGGAAACCCCCAAGACTCCAGCCCGTGGTCATCCTTCAAGCCTGGAACTGAACTCTCTCCGTCGCCCAGCTTTCAGCCAAACAACAAATAGGGAGGTATTCACTCCGTGGAACAATCAACCATAAGAGATCTAAAGGGTAGCATTTGCCCAGAGATAAAGCTCAGAAGGCAGGAATGGATAGGAGATGGAAGCCACAAGGAGGAAGTGGGAAGAATGCTGTTACATTGCAGGAACAACATTCAATGTCACAAAACAAAGTATGTATGAACAGTTCAAATGGAAAACCAATTTGCCCTGTAAACTTTCACTCAAATCTCAATAAAAAGTTCAAAAAAGAAGTTTCATCCCTACACCCAGTGCTCTGGATCCTATCTTTGTTTTCTTTAGTACCCTGACTTCAAAGTTTTCTGCTCCCATTCCCCTAAAAGAACTTTGCAAAACCATGCAATCCCTCATGCATGCTTCGTTGATTGACATCTAAAGTTTTCCATGTTAGCTTACATAATTGAAAATGAGAAATCTTGATAACTTCTTTTGTAAACATCAGCATTTTAAAATAAAGAATTTTCTGTCATTCATTTAAATGTATCAAAAAGAATCTAAATAAGATTTTTCTTTTCCACTAAGTAAGATACTAATTTGATGCTCACCATCATCCACTGAGAAGCCCTGGGGGCACAACTCTTAAGTACTTGGCTGCTAACCAAAAGGTTGGCTGTTCAAACACACTCTAGCAGGTTTGCAGGAGAAAGACGTGGTGATCTTCTATAGATTACAACCTAGAAAACCCTATGGTATAGTTCTGCTTTGTCACATGCCGTCACTGTGAGTTGAAAATCGATTCAGTGGCACTCAACTAGATAACATCCATTTCAAGAAGAAATGAACATGTTCTTACCTGTCAGAAGTTTGACATGTATCTTTCGCCTTCCATTGTCATTATCAAGCTTTACCTTTATTCTTTCCATACTCCACTGAACTTCCTTGGAACTAATTGCTTGAGGATCACCCACCTGCCAAATCTGATGGACTCTTTAGTACTCAAAGAGTACTAAATAAGAGTACTTATTTATTTGAACTATTTACTTCATCCTCCCTTTCAAGACTCCTCTCTGTTAGTTTTCCTTGTGTTGCTTTCTACTGATTGTTTTCTATATATCCATTACCTGCACTGCATTTTCTTTCTCAGCTATTCCTTTAAAGTTATTTCCTTGGGTCCCTGGGTAATTCAAACCATTTGGAATCATACAGTATGTACAGTTTTATGTCCGGCTTTTCTCACTTATTAAGTTTTAGCCATATTGTTGCATATATCAGTAATTCATTCCTTTTGATTGCCGAGTAGTAGTAAATCCTGTAGTTGTGAGCCAATTTATTTATCCGTTCACCAGCTGAATGGCATATTAGAAGGGGAAACAGGAGTAGGGTGAGGTCCCAATTTAAATATAGTGGGGGAATTCATTAAGATGTGAAGGAATGTGGGAGTGACCCATATGGCCACCTTGGTGTGGAACATCTCAGTGTGACTGGAGTAGGGGAGTAGAGGATGAGGTCATCAAGGTTATGGATGGGCAGATTACATTGGGCCTAATAAACTCGCTGCCCTCAAGTTGATTCCAACTCATAGCGACCTCCTTCGGGTTTTGACGGTGGTAAATCTTTCCGAAGTAGATTGCCCAGTCTGTCTTCCACAGAGTGGCTGGTGGATTTGAGCCGCCAACCTTTTGCTTAGCAACCAAATGCTTTAGGCACAGCTACCAGACCTCCTTATTGGGCCGAAAATAGGCAATGTAAACTGTGTGTGTGGGAGTAGAACTGCGCTCCGTCGAATTTGTAATGGCTTATTTTTCAGAAGTAGATTGCCAGACCATTCTTCCAAGGCACCTCTAAGTGAGCTCTAACTGCCAATCTTTTTTTAGCAGTCAAGCACATTATCCATTCGCACCATCCAGGGACCCAAGCAATGTGAAGTCTTGGGTTTTTAACCCTGCGTGAAAAGTAAGGTCTTTCTTCACAGGGTTTTGAGCAGAGGAGGGGCATAATCTGTTTTATATTTTTAAGCATCTCTCTGGCTGTTGAGGGGCTCTGGTGGCACAGTGGTTAAAGCGCTGGGCTGCTAACCAAAAGGTCTATGGTTAGAACCCATCAGCTGCAGGAGAAAGGTAAGTAAAGATGTATAGCCTTAGAAACCCTATGGGGCAGTTCTACTGTGTCCTGTAGGGCCGCTATGAGTCGGAATCCACTGGATGACAGTGGACTTTTTGTCTAGTTGAGAATAGAGAGGTGAAGGGTTGCATGCAGGGAGCAATAAATCGAGGCAAGGGATGATGGTGGTTTGGACCATGGTGGCTGGTGTGTAAGTATTGAGATTAACGTTTAATTCAAGGAGATGTATTAATTGCAGCTTGCATTGAAAAGTCGCTAATGTCTTTCTGCAGTTGATCTGCCCTTCCAGATGTCAGCGAGGGGTATGCAGGGGACAGAGGGAATTTCAGGACATCAAGGAGACATAAGCTTAGGAATCTGAAAACCTGAGAGTGTTCCACACCTCCAGGCCGGTAAGCCTCTGGCGCAGCAATAATTCTGCGGCTGAGGTCCCTAGCCTCTTCCCAATGACCATGCGCAACAGGCTGGGGTAGGAGCCTATAGAAAGCACAGGCTTTTCGCAAAGCCGGCCGAGCGCCTTCGGGGGAGCGTAGAGCTGCGCTTTTACGCAGGCGCAGTAGCTTCAGCTGGCTTGCGCGCGCAGCTCCTGCGGTACCTGCATTTGAAAGCTCATTGCGGTGGCGTTGATTTTGGCTTCGGATCTTGAGCAGGTATTGATTGCCCCAGGCCCCTAGATTTGGGGCTGTGGCCCGCTGCAGGGGCGCACCTGGGGTGGAGTGGGGCCGGAGTAGACCACCCATCTCATGCTGCACGCTTGATGCCGCTGCTTCTGTAGGAAGTGGGCCTGCTACTAAATGAAGGAGCCGTCGGCTTTCATCCATCCAGCTCTCGGTCCACGGTTTCTCAACTTCAGCACTATTGCTGTTTCAGGCCGGAAAAGTCCTTGTTGTATGTGGGGGGGGGGATGGGGTAGAGGTGGGGGGTGGGCTTCCTTTGCATTGCAAAATATTTAGCACCAACCCTGCCCTCTACCTAGTAGACACAGGTACTCCTTTCCTCTGTCATGACGACCGAAAAATACCTGCAGACATTGCCGAATGTCCCCAGTGGAGTAAAATCGCCCCCTTTGAGAGTCTCTGCCTGCGTCATATTTTCACCAAGCCTCTATATTGTAAACACCTTGGATACCGAGACGAGTGCCATAGTCACCACCAAGAGCCAGGTACCCTGCACAGAGCCAGGTACACGGTAGGCGCCTGATATGTAACAGGAATAAATGACTTCATGCATGCTGTGTGCCGGACTCTGGCTTCCAGATGGGTAATTATTGGGGCGATAATTGCAATAAACAGAATATTCTCTCTCACTTGCGTCAGTCTAGCACATCTCAGGGTGTATTGTAATTTCCTGGGAGCTCCGTGAGGTTGGAGACCTAGGCTCCCAGTCTGTCTGACCTGGCCATGCCTGTCTCTTCACTATCCTGTTCTCAGCTATTTATGAAATGGATGACTGCATGCAACATGGGCAGGATCTGGGCAGAGGAGCCCAAGGGAGACCAGAGAGAGTTTTACAGAAGAGGTGATCATTGAAAGCCATCAAGTTTTAAAGAATGAATGAAATTGATAGGAGAGGGAGTGGCCCTGTTGCAAAGTGTGGGGAAGGATAGAGTGCTTGAGAGTGAGGAAGATGGTTTTTATGACTGCAGTGTCAATCACTGAGGGGTAGCTAGGGCTTAGAGGAGGAGCCCTGTTGACACAGTGGTTAAAGCACTCGGCTGCTAACCAAAAGGTTGGTTCAAACCCACCAGCTGTTTCTGTAAAGATTACAGCCTTGGAAACCATGTAGGGCAGTTCTATCTACTGTGTCCTCCAGGCTCACTAGGAGTCGCAAGCTGCTTGATGGGTGGATTTAGAGCTCAAAGGACTGGAGTCATCAAGGCAGAGTCTAGATCATTGTGCATGGTCTGTGTGCTTGAATGTTATGAGACATTTGGGGAGACAATGAAGCAGGAGATATCTTTTATATCTATTTTATATATGTTATAATATCTTTTCCATATTAGGAGGAATCCTTAGGCTCCTGTATGAAAAGTGGATTGAAGGAGGTGAATGGTAGCCTGTACTTAGGTAGGTTCAGTAGGGATGAGAAGGAGAGGTACTTAGGAAATAAAATCTCCACGACTTGGCAACTAATGATGTGAGAAGTAATGAGGAAGAGAGATTTGAGAATCTGATAGGTGACCGCTGAGTTGAGTGACCAATGGGAAATGTGTTGCTATGCACTGAGAGAGGACAGAGTTGTTACAAAGAGGTTTGTGACTGGACCCCTGGTATTACTGAGCCTTTTCTGACATCATCTACTTATGAGGCATAGCCTCCTTGGAAAGTCTTTTTTTTTTTCTTTTTCTTTTATTGTAAATATATTTGCAGCTTCTACAATCTTCACATGTACAGCCCAGTGACGTTGCTTATGTTCAATAAAGGGTACTTTTAATTGCCCTTAAGTAACTCTTTGCCTTTAGACCTGCAAAGAAAATGACCCTTCCAGTATAGTAGTTGAGCAGAGCTATTCTAGGCATCTGAGTGTTGTGTGTATATGAGTGTATGTCTGAACCAAACCAAGAACAATGTGTTTAGGATAAACAATAATTCATTTCACTTATTTAATACCTTATATTTCTTGACAGCTTCTGCAGGACCATAAACTGGATCCTTGGAACCCATGAATTAACTTGATATTATGTTATCTGTAGTGCCTGTTGGTGTACGATACTAGTATCCGACTAGAACCAGAGGAGACGGAATTCCTGTGGATAATACGTACTGCAAACTGTGGTGTTCCTGAACAAGATGGCGGCCACCTTTCCAGTCCCTCACACTCTGGCTTCAAGTGAACAAAACAAGGTCCTAAGAATGGATATTCCCGGGGATCAAGATGCTCTTTTAAGAGGAAACATTACTGACCCAGAAACGTCAAGACAAAGGTTCAGGTGGTTTAGTTACTCAGAAACAGCTGGACCCAGAAAGGCCCTGAATCAGCTCTGGGAGCTCTGTGTTCAGTGGCTGAGACCAGACATTCACACGAAAGAACAGATTTTAGAGCTCCTGGTGTTTGAGCAGCTCCTGACCGTTTTGCCTGGGGAGATCAGGACGTGGGTAAAATCACAGCATCCTGAGAGTAGTGAGGAGGTGGTGACTCTAGTAGAGGATTTGACCCAAATGCTTGAAGAAAAGGAAGGTAAGATTCAAGATAAAGGGAGGAAGTGGGAGAGACTTCCTCAAGGTGTGTGAAAGTAATTCCTTCAGAGAAGGCATTTTACTGCTAAAGAGAAGTGTAAGTTTCAGAGTGGGGACTGGGTTTAAATTGGCCTTGCCATTTGCTGTGTGATCTTGGGCGAGTTATGTAACCTCTCCAAACATTAATTTTTTTTTTTTGTTTGTAGAAAGGAGTACTATCTTCTCCATAGTTTGGTTGTAAGGATTAAACATGATTAGGTATAATACATGGTACACACTTAAGAAATACATTTTTTTCCCTTGTCTCTGGATTAAGGGGGCCCTTGGAAAACAAGAGAGAAGAGATATCAGTGGAAAGAATTGGAGTCTCAAGATACTGAGAGCAGCCTTGTCTTGCCTTCTAATCTAGTGTGTGCAATGGGAGGTTTCTAGAGCAGCTGTGTCCAACAGAGAATTCCTGCGGTGATGAGAATGTATTGTGTACTGTTTTGGAGTCCAGGTTAAGTACTTGAAATGTGGTTACTGCAGATAAGCTGATTTCCAGTTAAATTTAAATAGTCATATGTGGCTAGCAGGAGCTCTGGTAGCATAGTGCCTAAGGCATTTGACTGCTAACCAGAAGGCTGGCAGTTCAAACCCACCAGCCATACCTTGGAAGGAAGGTTGGGCAATCTACTTCTGTAGAGATACCACCTCGGAAACCCAAGGAGGGGTCATTATGAGTTGGATCTGACTCAACGGCACATAACAATAACAAAAATGTATCTAATGATTACCCTATCAGATAGTACAGTTTTAGAAACTTTAAGAGAAAGAACAACTGAATTCTGTTTTTATAATTATAAAATTACACATAAGTATAAAATACAAACTGAATTATGGTGTACTTATAATTGCATCATTATAAAATATTGATGTAGAGACTTCTGGGGTGGAGAGCCCTGTGAGGGAATATAGTTCAGCTTTTATAAAACCTTATAATACACTAAAAATATTTATCCCAAGTATTTGCAGCATATTATTTACCACAAGACTTCTAACACATTTGTGTAACAATTTGTATTTTACCAAGAGTTCTGAGACAGAGAGAGAATGTTTACCTTCACAGACTGACTTTGTGGTCACACAGCAAACTAATGTATCTAAAATTTGGTTTTCCTATCTCCTCCTCCATGACTTGTCTGGAAAGTTTCCTTAAGATAATCTCTTTTTTCTCGTTGATTACTTCCTAATTTTAATTCCTAATTTGTTTTGATTGCCTAATCAATAAAGCTACTTAAATTCTCTTGATAAGACGTTTGAGTTTGATTTTTTTAAATAATTTTCCTTTATTACAGGAGAGCTGTTGATACCTCAAGAGCATTTTGTACATTTAGTTTCTGTGCCTTGGATTCCCATTTCTGTCTTTTGGAATCTGCTGGTGACCGTAGAAGTGGGCTCAGTTCTTGAGACCAGCTTAGCGCTTTCATTCAGTAAACAATTTTGAGTGATGCTGTGTGAGGATGATGGAGAAAATAAACATATGAAAGAAGTATGCCATTTTACCTCAGTACATTTTGTGAATGTATACATTCTGAAAAACCTTATTGCGTAAATTAAATATGTTAAAACTAAGGGTATATAAAATGAAGGCACAATCAGTTTTTGTGAGCTTAGGAATTGAAAGGACCTTTCTATGGGGAAGCAGAGAAAGTTTGGGGTTTTATAGTAAACAATGCCTCTGGCTGCTACCTCTTTTATAAAGTGGGCAGAACTTTTGTTCCTATTTCTGAACTTGTTCTCTAAGAGTATATGACGTGTATGAGGATTTCTAGTTGGAAGGATCCATTGGAAAGACTGGCCTGTTTTTTCCCTTCCTAGATGCGTTCTCTCAAGGCTCTGCTGTTTCCCAAGAGGAGAGCCCAGGAGAAGATGAAATGGCTGCCGCTCTTCCAGTTGTGGGGGCCTCAGTGAGTCTGCTTTCACTAACTTTCCTTCTTCAGTGAATGCTTATTGAGTGTCTGCTGTCCTGGATTGAATTGGTCCCCCAAAAATGTGTGTCACCTTGACTGGGCCATGATTTTCAGTGGTTTGACAGTTACGTAATGATATAATGTGCAGTTATGAATGATTCCCTATGATGTGATCTGATAAGCTGATTACTTGTAAAAGGATTAGGGTGGAATGACACCCTTAATCCCATCCAGCCCTGATCCGATATAAGGGGAGCTGCCCTGGGATGTAGCCTGCAAAACCTTTTATCTTACAAGAAATAATAAACAAACCAACCTCACGGCCCTCAGTTGAATATGAGTCATCGAATCTGAGTCCTTGGATCTGAGTCCTCTGACCTGAGTCGTCAGATCTGACACATAGTAACCCCTCCTTGGGTTTCCGAGGCGATACCACTATGGAAGTAGAACGCCAGTCTTAGTTCTGAGGAGTGGCTGGTGGATTTGAATCGCCAGCCTTCTGGTCAGCAGTCAAATGCCTTAGGCACTAGGCTGTCAGAGATGAAAGGAGAGAGAAGCAAGCAGAGAGGGAGGATCTCCTACCATCAAGAAAGAAGGGCCAGGAGCTTCCTTTGGACCAGGGTCCCTGCCTTGGGACCCTGCTAGGACCAAGAGACACAGAGAGAGAAAGGCTTCTCCTAGAGCCAGTGATCTGAGCTCAGACTTCTAGGCTCTGAAACTGTGAGAGAACAAATTTCTGTTTATTAAAGCCACTGCTGATATTTCTGTTACAGCAGCAATAGATAATAAGACATCCACTAAGTGACGTAAAGACACAAAAGTAATTGACAGCATCCCTTTCAGAGAACTTACACCTCATTCTTCACATGCTGTTTTATTTTGTTTCCCAGCATGTATTGCGAATCTGACTCCAATTAAAAAAAAAATTTTATTGAAATTCACCAATTTACTAATTACACTTGATAAAATTTTTTAAAAATGAATAAATAAACCCGCTGCCATTGTACAAGTTCTGACTCATAGTGATCCCCATTGGGTTTCCAAGCTGTCAATCTTTACGGAAATAGATTGCCTCATCTTCCTTCCTTGGAGCAGCTGGTGGGTTTGAACAGCCAACCTTCTGGTTAGCAGCCAAATGCCTTACGCCTTATGCCACCAGAGCTCCTTGTTGATAAAATTAAGAAGATGGAAAAATAATTGTATACTTCTTCAGCATGAAAGAATATCTGCAGCTGGTTAATGTTGGAAAATTGAAAATGGGCCTCACCGTATTTGCTACTTAGGTTAGCCAGGAAAATAAGAAAGAAATTGGGTGTAAGTATTAGTTTGAAAGAAGCAAATGCATATTATTTGCAAATAATAGCATTGTCTGTCTGGAAAACCTCAGAAAATCAACAAGTACAGAAACGCATATAATTGAGAAAAGCAGCCAGTTACATATTGGTAAGTTTCCTATATGCCAATAATTATGAGTTAGGGAAAAAAATGTTTATTCACAATAATGAATAATAGTGCAGAGCTCAGCTATTGATGGCTCTAAAAATGTGCCCTCGTTCCTGGAGCCTATTAATACACCTTATTTGGAAAAAGAATCTTCACAGATAATTCACTTGAAGATTTTGGGATGAGCTTATCCTGAATTATCAGGGTAGTCTCTGAGTGCCACAAGCGTGTTATAAGAGAGATGCAGAGGAAGGTTAGATACATTGACACAGACGAGAAGGTCAGGGGAAGATGGAAGCATGGATTGGAGTGATACAGCCAAGGAATGCCAGCAGCCACCAGAAGCCACAAGAGGCAAGAAATGGATTTTCCCTCCAAGCATCAGAGGGAGTGCAGCTCTGCTGATGATTTGATTGTGGATTTCAGGCCTCTACAGCTATAACTGAATAAATTTGTTTTCAGCCACCATGGTTGTGGTAATACGTCACAGCAGCCACAGGAAACTAACACAAATGTGAATAGGCATTCTGCTATGAACTGCAGATTACCATGGATATTATGTTACAAACAGTATACTTTAATGAGTCACTATGCATGTTTGTATTATAATAGAGAAATTCGAAGTTTATTATTGAACACAGGTTCTGATTGGGATAGATAATAATTCCTATGTTTAATCAACTGGAAATTAAAATTTAGAGTGTAGTTGCTGAAATTGCTCTTAGAAGAACCCAAACCCAACCTGCTGTTGAATCGCTTCTGACTCCTGTTGCCCTTGCAGCACATAGGAAATGCCCCATAGGGTTTCTAAGATTGTGAATCGTTATAGAAGCAGACTGTGCATCTTCCTCCTCAGAGCAGCTGGTGGGCTGAACCACTGACCTTTTGGTTAGCAGCCAAGTGCTTTAACCCTTACAAAAGCAGCGCTCTATGCTACTACCTTTTTCTTTTTAATTTTATTGTGATTTGGGTGAAGGTTTACAGAGCAAATTCCTTTTCCAAATAGCAGTTCACATACACTTTCTCTCATGACATTGACTGCAATTTCCCACAATGCAACATCTCTCTTCCTACTTCCTCCCCATAGTTAGCTCTTCCCTTCCATGCACTCCTGCGCCCTGAGCTGTCTCCCTATGCATACATAGACCTTCTATTCTCCCATGATTGACCTCTCCAAGGAGTGTATCTACCTAATAGAAATGTTCAACTTATATGCCTATCTTTTTTTTTTGGCTAGTTGCCACGAGACTGGGTTCCATTCTAGACCTGAAGGGCAGCTAGAGGCCATAGTCTCAGTGGTTCCATCAGGCTCTATCAGACCAGCAAATCTGGTCCCTTTTTCCTTTTTTTTTTTTT